TGTTTTGCTGTCAGTTTTCGCAGACCACTAATAAGCGCAACAACAATAATAACAACAACAACAACAACAACAACAACAAGTTGTCCCAGTTCAGTATTGCATTACAGCAAAAAGTCTGTTGTTGACTTTGGCCTACAGAAGTTGCCATTTGGTCGTTCGTGCCCGAAATATAAAATCTGAAATCTCAAATCCTCACATTACACAGCGCGACCGACCAGATACGAGGAGAAACAATAAACAATTAACTTGCACGCGCCTTGTGTTAGTTTTGTTGCGCACCCGGCAACAGTTTGTTAAGTAATTCAACAAAAATATTAAGTTTCATTAAATGCTAACAAAAAGTTTGCTTGTCCGTGCGAAAATTTTCAAAGTCGTTTTTTCCCCCAATGCCAACGTGTGTGCATCAAAAGTCTTCAAGTTACAAGAACATTTCAACATTATTTAACATTCAAATAAATACATTTTAAATTAATAAATAAATACTAAATATTCAGGGGAATGTTCATGTAATTGTTAGTTGACTTTTATGATAATCTTTTATGATAATATTTGCAAGCCGCGTTGCAGTGCTGCCATATGTGCAGTGCAGTGCGAGGTGGCAACACTGCAATTCTATCTTGATGTCTAATATTTGACAAACTCTTCACTACACGAAGTCACGTTGCACATGTTAAAGTGATTGTTAACTTTGATAGGAACTTGACTAAAGACACGTGCCCCAATAGATATGATGAAATGACAATGGAGCAAGCGGAAGGAAACATGCACATAGAAATACAAAAAATATATGGAACTAAGTGAATATGTGCAAAAATTATATATAATACAAAATTATGTACAAGTTTTTTTTTTCTTAGTATGTTTTTTTAACTCTGTTTTTATCAAAGCTCGCATAAAAAAATGAAACGAGAAAAACATTTGAAATGAAAACTGTTCTAAAACTAAAGCAAAATTGCATTAAGCTCAAGCAAAGATGCAATAGACAAGGGAAATAAAATTAAATACAATAAAATAATGACACAACTATACAAGGAACGGCGGCATACAAACAAGATTGATAACGAACAGCTGTGAATGAAAAACATGTTGAAAGGGTTGCAAGACAAAAACCTACTATAATTATAGACATATATGCGCTATTGTTAAGCCAACCCCCCCCCCCCCCCTCCACCCCCTTGGCGAGGCCTGTGTACCGAGTGAATGTCATGTCTGCGGTTACCTGGCGACAGTGGACAGTGTCTAGTTTTCGCACCTGCAAGCGATTAAAATCGCGCGCACACGCCACCCCTCGCTGCGCGAACAACTTTAAATAGAGTTGACCGCACGCGCTTTAACAACAACAATTTTGAGCATGGGGTCGCTTAGCTAATGCAGCATTTGGCAAATGCATTTCGCACACCGGAGCCAGCAAAAATTGTAATGGCCAAATGCAATTATTTTTAGCGCATGCAACGACCCGACACAAAATGCTGCTGCCGCATGGGGCACGCGTTGCGCATGTTTGTTGACAATTAATGCAAGTTGTTGTTGTGTTTGTTGTAGTTGTAGTTGTTGCTGGGCGCACCCAAAAAGCGTTGCTAGCGCTGGAACTGCATTTTATGCATTAATTTCCGCATAACTCGAACACAGGCACAATTGAGCCGACATATAGTTGCAGATACATGCACATATATTTGTATCTATAGCTTTTAGCTGGCGACCCCCAGGCAAAAGCTGACCAATTGCATAAAAATTCTTGCACGGCAACTGTAAACTTAATGAACGCATCCGCCGCTGGGTCAAATCCCCGACCGCTCTCTCACTTCTTTGGTGACGGTGACGGTGATGGCGACGGTGACACAATGTGCAGCCAATCAAGCATTGCAAATCCCCACATGACCGACCCCCTGGCCAGATAGACGAGCAGCTTCTGCAGCTCGCTGGACTGCATTCATTCAAGTTGATGATGAGAAAAATGAGAGAAACGTATCGCACTTTGATGTTGTTTTAGTGGCTTCTGCTGCTGCTGCTGTCCGTTGACATCGGCATCGCCAGAGGTTATTATACCCAGTTAATAAACCGCAAATTGTGCTGGCTTCTTCTTTGTCTCTCACTCCACTCGCTCAACTTATTGCATTTGGTTATTGTATCCCAGTCGCCGGCCTTTGACTTGTCGCTGTCACGCATTTGTTGACTTTTCTTATGGATATATTGACTAATCATCATTAGCCGTTTGTTGGGCGGGCAACACAATGGCAAGAAACAGCGTATAATAGTAATTACAGCACATGTGTTCCATTCCGAATGGTTTCGCGCTAAATGCCGCGTTTCCACTAAGCGACATTCACCTCATAATGGCGACAAGTTGGCAGCACTTCTTTTTTTTTTGTAGACAGGGTCGTTTTGGAAGTTAAATGCAAATTTGAGTGCTAATTTGTTGGCCGTTGGTTTTTATCATTGTTGCCATATTTGCAATGCATTCAAAAGTGTCAACAGCACAAATACATTTCGCAGTAAAGTATTTAACAGGCAGATAAGATGCCCGGTAAATTTTGAAAGGTTCACTAGAGTAAGGCCAAACAATATCAAGCTTGACAAGTTAAAGTGCATAGTAAATTTAAAGGGAAAGCCAAAGTTTCTGTGGCTCTGATAATCAATGTCATACCTAGAATGATCTTGCATAAGAAATAAATAAATAAATAAAATTTCATTTTTATAGTAGTATAAGGCTGTCTGAAAGGGTTTTTAAAAACTTCGAAGGAATGCAGTCTAAAAACCACTCGATATCTCAATCATAACATATATATAAACTAATTTGTATAGTCGAAAAAAATGGTTATCTTTTATCTATTCAGAATTTCTAGAGCTTAGAAAATTCTCAAGATTGTTTACAAGGAGCAGACAAACGTCTATATTAGTAGGGATTTCTTGAATTTAACTGGAAACATTTTCTAGCTTAACTAACTCTTTAAGCATGCTTATGTCTAGCTTCTCGTAAAGGGGAGCTACTTGGGCTCACTAGAGCAATATATTGAAATTGCAAGCTGTTAATCATCTATGCATTACCTTGCATTTTATGGGCAGAGCTCAATTCAATGCACAAGCCACGTTCAATTTATAGCACACCATTTGAGTGTTGTTTTAATCAAATGATACGAAGCACTCTCGAGAGCCACAAGAGCTGAATGCAATCGCGGTTGCCAGCGCAACTGCTCGATGCTACAAATGGAATTCGTGGCCAGACAAAGGAGCAACGCATAATTCCAGTGTCACCAAGTGGCGGCTATTGATTTTTTTGTACTTTTCTCGTTTTTCGGGGAAAGCGCAAAAACTCAAAAATACTCGCAACCGAGTGCAACGGTAAAGTAGCCCAGAACCGCGCGAATGTCGGCAAAGTTGGCAGCGCGCGCCATTTGCATTCTTGGCACAAGAGAAAAAATAAGTTGGCAACACTCAACGTCCGACCAATTGATGCCCCAAACACACGCCTCAAACCCAACGTGCCGCTTGTAGTTGTCGGTGTTTTTGGCATGTTTCATTGGCAGGCGCGCTTAAAATATGCAGAAAAAGTCGCGACAAGACGCGCAGCAGGTGGATCGCCGGCCTGCTTGGCTTTTGCAGGAGCTTATCCACGCCCAGTTTTCAATTGCTTGTGGCACTGTTTATTGTGCGACGCGCGCGGCAGCACTTGATAAAAATGCCAGCACTAGAGGTCGCCACCCCATGACAATTGTTGTGGCTTGTTCCTTCAGCGAGACAATCAAACTACAAAGACGACGCGAGGGCTCAGTTGTGAAAACGCCAGAAAACTGTGAGATTTCAATTTCACTTTTTGTGGTAAGTGAAAGGGAATGCACATATTAAATCCTAACAGAGTAAATCTATCCAGTTCAAGCTTTCATTTCATGTATTCCATTCAATAATCTTTAACATTTTCATCCCACGCATGTCCCAACTTCTTTTGCGTATGTGAAACTTCTTGGAATTGGAAACGCAATTTTCGATTGATTCTGTTTTTCAGAACAGGACACGGATAGAGTTCACCACCCACTTGAATGGTGTGCGCGTCAGATAAACTACTCGCGTACACACATACATATATACATATATATGTTATATATGCATATATAGACGCACATATATTTATAAGTCTGGTAACCAGTTGTACAACTGGTGCAGCCGTCATTTGTTTTGGCGCAGTAAATTTGTTGTGAATTTATTTTTGGCAAACTTTTGGCCTATTGGGAAAATGGCAAAAGTGCTGTTGGCAAACGGCTCGGCATGGCCCTAACTTATATTGGCGGGGGTCGTCATGCGGTCTCCCAACTAACCTTCATCTGACTGCTCGCTGGGCCGTATCCTAACCTTTTCTATAATGATTTTTCGTGTCCCTTTTTTTTTTTTTTTTTTTTGATTTTGCCAAACAATTTTGTATCATTGGGCGTTGCTGTCAGAGTTCAAATAAAATTCGATTCACTGCTGCATTATTATCTACGCTGGCAGTTTATTTATATTAAAAACGTAAAAATAAAATTGATTGTTTTTTTTATTTAACGTGTAAGTGATAAGAAGTGCCTACGTATATATGGGTAGCTATTTGTTTTAGCCGTGCCTAATAATGATATGAGTCAGATGAAATATTATCAAACAAATAGTTGCTCAAAAGTTCAGTCATTTAACTTTTTTGGTAAACAACATTGGCATCGATGCTATTCCATTCCAGACATTCCATTCACATTTGCTTAAAGGCCATGTGCTTAACTTAATGTTAATTTCTTGAAAGAAAAAATTCCTTTGCCTGCCACAAAATCGCAACGCGTGTCCATAAATGTTTATTACTCAAATGGCAAACTTTAACAAAAAATAACATGAAAATAAATACATGAAAATAAATATAAAAAAAATAAACCCCCTGCTGTCATCAATGTGAGATCTCGTATAATATACATATTCTAACTGACAATAATTGACAAACCCAATAAAAACTACAACAAAGAGTCAATAAAGCGGAAACATGAAACTGACGTCACAACGACACGCATTTGTTTATCGGATCCATGATTAAGCACAAAGGTAAATACGAGTATATAAATATGTGCAGCTGCCTGGTCTAATATCGGGGAAATTTCGGCCTTGCCTCAAGCATTTTTCAGAAGTATTTATTATCTCAGATAAAGGTGACGCGTTTTTGTACTTGTAAATTGCTGACAAGAAAATAATACAATATTTGCATAGATATTATATTTTGTGCGGGATATTTACATGGTAGATCCAGGTATAGCGGGTATTAATTATTATTATATTTTATTTGATTATTTTGCGCACTTTTCTCACATTCAGCTTAAGAAATTCTTTTCAGCTTTTAAGCTTTTGCACGAATTTTTTCCTTTTGATAAGACAGCTTCTTATCAGTTAACTTTTCTCGGCAAATTTTTGTTTTCAACACTTTGAAATGTTTGCATGCGGCGGCATAAACAAGGCACACTCACATAAATAAACGAATTTATTTATAAATATTTATACAATTTAGTTTCACTCTTCTTTTATTATTTTGCACTAATTCTTTTGAAATTTGGTGACACTTTTTTGTTGCTGTTTTATAAAAACTAAAAATAAACAATATCGCGCGCCGGGCTCACTAAGTCTTTTGTTTTTATCTTTTTTTTTTTACTTTGGCACTCCGACAAAATGTGGGAATCTTTCGCACGCGTACGAAAATAAGACGAAAATTAATTTTAGTTTTCTGTTTTGAGTGCCGCACGACGCCGACTTCTTTCGTCCGTTACGTTGACATTTTGTTTGGATTCTCGACTGTTAATGCGCCTGGGCAACAACAACAAGTGCTTCGCGTGGTAAGGTCTAACAGCTTTCGGTAATGTTATTGCTCAATTGCTGTTAACGAGCTGTTGTCATGCTGTTGTACTCAAAGTGAACTGTAAGTGAGCTGTTATGCTCAACATGTACTGTTAAAGTGCTGTTAGACTTGAATGCAGAGTGAATTCTATGCTCTTCGCTGACAAGAGCATTACCAAAGAGCATTCGTTATCTCTTTTTGCCGACAGCTGGCTTTGCCGCTCACAACAAGTGTCTTAGTTAAGAGAACGCAGCATGCACCTATTCAAATATTTAAGGACTAAAGACAAACTGACTAATAATAATTGTATTCTTTTAGTAAAGAAACGAAATTTCAGAGTTTGAAATATCTTATTTTGTAACTAAACAAGCGAAAGATTTGAATAAAATTGAAGATATTTAAATGGAACACAATTAAGAGCGATCTAGAGTTATCCGTGAGATTGGTACAAAAAAATATATAATTTTTTTAAAATTAACTTAAGCCAAATTCAGACAGGGGTCAGCGTACAAATACTTGGAACGCGTGGAATTGAAACACGTATACAAGTGCAGTCATTTGCATGCAGACACCATAAACTGCAAATGCTGGTCACATTTGCGTCGCCTGGCCACTTCGATTAGTTTGCCATTGTGTGCTGGCCAGAAGAACAACAAGCTGCCAGGAGCTGCCAGCAGGCGGGTGGCGGAACGTGGAGATGTAGCTGGAAACGGCCATTGTTGCCACTCGCCGTCGTCGGTTATAACCTCAAAGCAGACGCCATAAATCAAAGTACAAATTTGCACTTTAAGTGCGCTTTCAATAAGTATTAGCACTCAAGCTCTTTGTTGTTCCTGTTGTTGTTGTTGCCGACCACATAAATCATAATTTAAAAGCTTGGCAAATGCACGACAGTAAAGTATAACAACAACTTAATGAAGTAGAACAAACAAACAAAACCTTGCAATTTTGCGTAAGGAATTTAAAGAGCAGCCGCTAATGAAGAGCATGCAAAAGAGAGTGAGCTGCTGTGACACTCGCAAGATCCGGATCAAATGATGACTAAAGCGCGCAAACAATACAACAAAATGGCGAAGGTTCAATGGAACCTGCGAAAGAGCGAGCCAGTTCTTAGTTGAACATTTTTATAAGCGCATTAAATTATTGATAAAGTTTTGTTGCCAAAAGGTTTATCAATATTCTGCGAGCACCGGAGTGACAGACAGTCCATCATCGTCTGGCAACGTGATATGCGGCGTTTCATGAGATAAGGCATTAGACATGCTTACGAACAGACGTTGAACAGCTGTGTGGGAGGGCGATGGCGAGAGAGAGAGAGAGAAAGAGTGCGCGCAAAAATCTAAGCCACCTTATCTTATTAGCTGCTGCCAAGCAAAATTAACAATCATAGAAGAGAGAGGGAAACGAAAGAGAAAACCCTTTGTTCATGATCATTTCTTTGTTTGGAAAGTGAAGAGTATATTTCAAGTCGCGCAATGTTTATCTTGCTGTGCCTCCGTTTATCCACATAGATTATTAACATTCCAAGCTTTTGTTTGTCACAGTTTGACAATTACTGATGTCAGTCTTACAGTCTTACAGTCACCAAATCAATCATGTATCAATTATTATTAATTACTTATTACACTGTGAACCTAGTTTCTTCTCTTTTGGGTGATTTGGGAGAGTATGTACAAAGGCATGACTACTCGCTTTTAATTGTGATAGGCGACAATTGAAAATGATTCATACGAAGCATCTGCGCAAATTGAATTGCAAATATTAAATTAATTTGAGGAATTTCATGGCAGATAACAAAATACATGGAAACGGAAGTCGCGCATAAATCATCAACAAAAATATATAAGAAATATGTTTCTCATCAGATCATATAAATTATAATAAACATAAAAAATATATATATAAAAACAAAAAAACAGAAATAGAAATTGCCCATTGGCACTAAATTATTATGTTTGAATCGAATTAAAAAAGAGACTCACTCACCTATTAAGCGAATAAGTTTTCTCAGATATTTTTTTTACATAGGTTTTGTCACCCTCTTTAAGCGGACACTCTACATTAGAGTGACAATTATGAAAGAGATTATATTTATAGCGGACACCCCTATTAGGCGGACACAACACACGCCGACCGCATTAAGCGGACTTGCACAAGAATTTATCTTTTTTTTCAACAATCATCTCAATACTAGATTTACTTTTTGTGAATGTGAAAGAATCGGTTGCATCTATATACCTTTTATGCTTAATGATAATAGAGCATACTTTTAGGCGGCGCAATACTTGTTCTACCCAACAGTGATGCCCATTTAGCTTTCTTTTTTCCTTTAGTCTAAATATCAACTAAATATTATTATCAATCATTTTGGATTGGTTAGCGGTTTTAGTATTGTAGAAAAGGAAAATTGAGTAAAAAGAAACGTATATTTTTAAAAAGACAACTAACGATGTGTTATAAATAGAAGTCAGTTTAAAGCAATTAAAAATGTGCCAGATTTGAGATATTTATTTCTTTATGTTCAACTCTTTCATCTTCATTAACTACACAAAACTTGGCAACACGACTGCGAATGATATGCGGGTATCATAAGCAAACAAATCTCCAAAGCACGAGACCAAAATTTCACAAAAAAGAGGGTTGGACAGACCGCAAGCCAAAAGAGGGAAAAAACGTAACCTAACTTAACCCGAAATCTGAACTCGGCTAATTACCGAAAAATTGAAATGAAAAAACCCTTCACCGGCAACGCGAGCCGTCAGTCAAAGAAGGATACGATTATTTATGCATTGCGGTAAATGGTAGCACAGGTATACAGCGAGAGAGAGAGAGCGAGAGAGAAAGATAAAACAGGATCAGCGACGAGGGGTCAGCGGTGCGAGGTGTCGATTACCTTAGCCAGGTAGCTGCGATGCATATCCAAGAAATGAAACCCGAAATTATGCGTAATAAGCCAAGATGGAAATTTTCGAGCAGTTGGTCGGAAAACTGCGCGAATTTCAATTTACGATCGGGTATTAAGAGCGTATGTAGGGGATTAGTGGACATAAAATACAGGCAACGCCATACTACCTGCGAGTTAAAGGTACAGTATAGTAATATATAATTTTTTTTGTCGAATGTTAAAGCATATTTATCTTAACACAAAGCACATTAAATACCTATTAATAAGATTTAATTTGAATTCAGTTTTATAATGTCTGAAAGTTTAAGAACTTTTCTTTAAGCAAACTTAAAATACAGTTGAAAATATTTCCTTTGTTTAGAGCAATGCGAAATAGTTAAATTTGTTTCAAGGTTTTTTGTATTTATAGATTCAACATGTGCACACATATTTTTATCACATTGATAAGGCTTGATGTGTGTATTTCTTAACCTGTTCAACAATTGCGATTGGTTTTCATAGCGGCACTTGGCACCTGTTCGCATATGTATTTATTTATTCATTCACTAATTCGTTCTGTGATAAGAAACTAGTCGATATTGTGACTCGGTTGGCGCACACTCACCTTGGTTTTGGATTTGTTTACGATTTTACGATATAGAAACTTGTACATAGCACAATAACAATTGCAGCAGCGATAACAACAAAAACAGAAAAACATAAGCCCGATCACGTTTTCGTTCCGAGAAATGTTTCTACTTAAATTTGACACGCACGATCTTAACAAAAAAAACTACTTTTCATTCATTTACAATATATATGAATATATTTATATATCGGCCCCGATTGGAACGCACTGCGTCTGGTAGATCGGCAGTCGATTTATCTGTCTGTCTGTCCGTCCGTCAGTCGGTCTAGGGTCTGTGTCTGCCGCGCGAAACGTCATCGATGACTAAGCGATGCGAGCAAGCCGTGAGTGATGAGGGCCGCGTCTTTTGCAGAATTTTGCATGCGGCCGCACAGGAGCGGCTCGCAGGTAAGTCGCGCAATTGGGCCCATAGCTTACACAAGACATTATTTTAATGTATATGTGTACAACGTTATTTTTTGTTTTTAGCTTACAAAGCAAATGAAAATTGTTACCTGAATGAATATTCATTGTATGATGACTGTAATTCTGGTAATTAAAAAATTTTCATTTCAAATGTCTAAAAGTAATCGACTAAAAATTTGTAGTCAACTAAATTGCCTGTATGTCGTAAAGTGCTCTGTTTAAACAAAAAATAATGAAAACTTAATCAAATAATATGTAATATACACAATTAAATGAAATGTTTCTTATTAGTTAATAATTATAGATTTAATTGTTTGGGAATACCAGCTGATATCAGATTTATATGCATTACTTTTTATAAAATTATTAAAATTATATTTCAATATGCAAATTGCAGTTTCAATTAGTCGCTACAAACCCCGAATGCGCTCCTGTAGCCCAGCTTTGTTTACAGTTGCTTTTCGATGCCGCTAAATACAGTTGCTCCCACGTTGCTTTGTCCAAAACAACAAAAGCAACTACAATAAGCTAATGTCAACGAAAAGTTCAAAAGCTGGGCACACTTCAAACAAACGGCACTTTTTTTATTGATGTCTAGCATTGTTGTTGTTGTGAGAGAATGTCAATGAAAACGTTAGACGGCAGAATAGAAGGAATTGAAGCGTCGAAGTCATTAAAAACTATCAAATAAATTTGAAAACAAAATAAACTTTAACTAGCAAATTGGACGTGGCAAAATGTGAAGAAACTAATTAGCCATAACGAACCAATGGAAGAAAAATGGGAACAAGAACGCGCGTGAAAGAGGAAGAACAGGTGCGGCGCTGCCCTCGTTGGGTGCTTTGACATTTGCAGTGGCCAAAGGTGAGCGACGAAAAGAGAGTGAGAGAGAGAGAGAGAGAGAGAGAGAGAGAGAAGCTGAGTTGGGGCAAGCGAGGTGATGATGCAGAGATAAGAAATGTGGAAATTTACTTATATTTTATTTTTGTAACTTACCTGAATCTCGAGCAAAAGCTCCTGCTTTTTTCTACGCAGCTCAATCAGCAGCTTTTGCTGCTCCGGTGTCAATTCTGCAAGAATAAAACATAATTCTTAAGCGTGCGCCTGCTTTTGTTGTTGCTGCTGCTGCTGTTGATTTGGTTAATTGGAACAGCGACATTCCACTCACACATTCACGCGAGCACAAGCGCACGTAAACAATACACACCCACACGCACACACACACACATACACACACACACAAGCTGCACTGTCAACATACAAATGCGCACGAGCGAGACAGGAGATGCTGCCAAATCAATACAATTACAACAAATGTGAGCATGTATTGTTGTTGTTTCACAACGGGCTGTCAGTTGTATTAATTGGTTTATTAGTTTAACGCCGCATTACGGGATTAAGTCAATTGAAGGCTAGTTTAATAGACACACATACACACGTACCCACACACAGACACAGACACAGACACACGTACACGCGCCCACAAGCAGCGTCGCTTGTTGCTTCAACACTTTTCACTGTGCCCTGTGCTGTCTCCCCCTCGCCCACGAACTAATTTGCATTTGGCATTCACACAATTTCACTTCAATTGCAGCTTAAACTAATCTTTATTGCCTCCATCTGGCTGAGCTTCTTTGTTTTATTGTTTACTCATTGCCCAGTGCGTCGTGTGTTTACCTGGCATCGAGAATTCACTGCGCCCCTTGGATATCGCACCGTACGATCTGTTGTCGAAATTGTCCATTGCGCTTATCATTGTGGCGGGCACGGTTATCACACACGCACACACGTTGCACTAGTTAAACATATTTTTTAACTTTTGTGTATTTGCTGGCGTTTTCATTTATTAAACACAATTAAATTTATCATAAACAAATCAACACAAAAAATTCTTTCGCCTTTTTCTTTCCCACTAGGGATGAACCAAATGGTGATGCATGGAGATGGCCCAAATAATATATATCGCAGCTATCGATAGTGAGACCGTACTCTGGCGTTGCCACACTGTTAGGACATGCAATCAGTTGATATCACATAATTTTATTCTTTTCACTATCATACACGTGAATATACTAAAATTTTAAAATTGCTTAGCCAATATATTATTTTTCTGTCACATTTAATTTTTCATAGACAGCTTACAATAGAAAAGCAAACCTTATACGACTTCTAGCAGTGTAGCAGACCATACTATGTTAGTTAACAGAATTGCTCCACTGCGGCGAATTCACTCCTCACAAACTATAAATTTGCAGCATATGTGTGACCAGTTACCAGAAGTCACGCGACTGGTGCACACTGAATATCGCTCATCACTAACCGAGACTGACTGCAAAGGCACTGAGCACTTTCGGATTTCCAGAAAATTCCAAATATTTTCTTAGCATAATCAAAAGAGCACTGTCAGGCAACACAATTAAGCGCGTCACAAGCACGGCCGACACTTGGGATCAGTGAATGCGAATATCAACCACATTTTAATACAGCAAACACGCAACAACGACATGGCCAAGTGGGGAGAGGGTGATCCACGCTGGATTGTTGAGGAGAGACCCGATGCGACCAATGTGAACAACTGGCATTGGACGGAAAAGAATGCGACGCCCTGGTCCAAAGAGCGACTGCCACAATTGTTTACCGACTTTAAAATAGGTGCGTTGCTCTTCTTCTGATTCTTGCAAAAATTCTAACCTTAATTTTTTGCTGGCACGGACTGAACGGAGTGCAGAACAACAAGACATCGAATGCGTGGTGGATTCGGTGGACAAGTGCAACGGGGAGGCGACCGTCAACAATCGAAAGGGCAAGTTGATATTCTTCTACGAATGGGAGCTGGTGCTCAAGTGGTCCGGCCGATTGCTCAAAAACAGCAATCTGAGCCACAAGGGCAAGCTGACCATACCGAATCTGTCCGAGGAGAACGATCTGGAGGACGTGGAGATCACGGTGACCATTGACGAATCGAACGACGAGTCGGAGACACTCAAACAATTCATGTACAACGTGGGCAGAGAGCGCATACGCAACCAGCTGGGCGTCTACATCAAGGAGCTGAAGGAGGAATATTCCAAGAACTTGATACTACCAAAGAAGGACGCCAACAGCAGCGACTCGACCGCGGAGGCAAACGATGCCAAGAATGCGAAAAATGCAGCCCAAAAGGCTGCGTCGCTTCCATCAGCCGCCGCCGCGCCCAAATCTTCCTCCAACAGCAGCGCAGCGCGCAGTGTTGGCTGCAAGCTGGACGTGCGCACACTCTCCATGACCGAGGAGTTCCATTGCAATGCCAATGATCTCTACAACGCGCTGACAAAGCCCGAAATGGTCACTGCATTTACACGTGCGCCCGCCAAAGTGGACGCCGTACGCGGCGGCGAGTGAGCATTCAAATGCCTTCTCCCCCCCAAGATGCGACATCAGCTCATATTGTACCTCATTTTTATCCACAGATTTGTGCTCTATGGCGGCAATGTGCTTGGCAAGTTTGAGGAACTGGTGCCCGAAAAGAAGATCCAACAGAGCTGGCGTCTGAAAAACTGGTCATCTGGTCACTACTCGAATGTCGTCATCGAACTGGAGGAAACTGTAAGTAAAATGCATGCAATAGCAATAGAGATCAGATTGGGTTGGACACAGTCCGTATTCATTTTCGTTGGTTTATTCCCTGTGCGTTTGTGTAAAGCTTGCAGAATATGTAGGCTCGCAGTAGAGTTTGAATATACAATTCAAAAATGGTCAAAAGATCATTTCTTGACTAAGATTATAGCTTCAAGTCTGTGAATTTTAAATTAGGACCTGTACTTGTAGTTTGTATATATATATACATATATCACTCGTGACCTCTTTCAAAGGGTTATTTCCTTATGTTTAAAATCAATGCTCTCAAATTCCTTTATTTGTATGTATTTTATCGCTGTTTTTCACAGATGTAGTTAAATTTGATGTTACAATCGACATCGTTCAGCGTGTAAACTTCATTCACCTTCCGTATGTGGATGCAGTCCTCGTTGTCACCGCAATTATTAGGTTCTCCGGGATACCACTTGAAGAACGTCGCTTAGCGACACGTTGCTAACGAATAGCATCAAACTCTGCCCGAGTCTGCAGATTAGCCAGATGTCCGCCTGATTCGTGACACCTATGCGCTGCCTCAAACCAGTTTAGCCCTGTCACAGAATCAATATAATAATTGTTGTCTCCTATTTTGTCAAAATGTCCCATATCGTCGGGTTTTTTGCATTGCTTGCGTCTTCCAAGTTTTGTTTTGTTTGTTTATCTAGTCTATCAAACTTCTCATGCAGCAGACGTTCAATGTTCTCGAGTTTATTTATGGATTCTGATTTCTGTGTAGATTCATTTGGGTCGACTTGCTTCTGTAAAGTCCTTGTGTGCTCCAATATGGGCTTGACGACTTTAAAGCAGTATCTGCCACAGTTAGATTCGAGCTGCCTCAACTCCTCACAAATCTGTTGGAGGGTATAATCAGTTTCTACTATATATTTGCAAAGTTCACGGTTATCACTTGCCTCGCTGCTCGCGAGTGCTATGAGGACTGCGATTAAGATCCCAATAAAATTGATTCGCATTGCGAATAACTCAATGTTGACAGTCGCAATGGCTTTCGCACACTAAAAATTCCTAATTGTATCATTATTATTATATATGCTGTTATCAAGAAACGAAGCTAAATTTGTGTATTTCAAATTTCACTTAAAACTGTCGCTTGATTATCCGGAAAAAAACATAAAGCATTTACAAATGCTTTTTTTAACTGTAATAACTTATAAAAATCAGTTTACACACAAGTTATTTGATACAGTATTAAATTAAATGTTGTAAATTGTTTTGTCAAAGGACGAAACCAAAACTTTATGATTTACAGTAAACAAAATGTTTTAATTATCAAATTTCTTCTCGCAGATAAAGTTATTTCTGTATAAGCAAGTTAGATCATTCATTTCGTAATCATGATTGATGCCCAATTCGACGCAATTTTCTGCGTTATCTTGGTTATTTGGATTGATAGAATCCCATCTTATGAACACTGCCTTCTCGCCAGTGGTTGACGACATATATTTGCCCTCTTCAGCTAGGTCGTTGATATCCAGCCAATAACCAGGTTTGGTTAACTTTGCTCTTATAGCATTGAACTCTTGTTGATTTTGCACACTCGCCAGATGTCCACCGAGTTTTATACACTTGGCTGCTGCTGCGAACCAATTAAGCTCTTCATTGTCTCCTATATAATAATATTTGGATCCAATTTTCTCAAATATACCTATATCAGGTTTGTCGTTTACCTTAACTATGCTGCTTAGATTTTTGCACTGATCTTCAAACTTTCCTTCAAGTGTCTGTAAGTTTTGTTTCAGTGTATTAAACTGTACATAAAACAGACTTTTAGTGCTCTCTATTTTTTCTAACATATTCGCCTTATGCTTATCCTGGTACTCGACATGCTTCTGCAATTCTGTTTCTAATATTTTGCAAGAGCCATGCAATTGTTCGTTTCTTTCTTGCAGCAAAGTTTCAATACTCGCATGTTTGATCATCTGTTCAGTTTTCTGTACTATGTCAAAGCTTTCGACCTGCTTCTGTAATGCCCTTGTGTGCTCCAATATGGTCTTGACGACTTTAAAGCAATATGTGCCACAGGTAGATTCGAGCTGTCTCGACTCCTCACAGCTCTGTTGAAAGAAATAACCACTTATTATGTTTATGAAAGTTCATTCTTCTAACTTGCCTCACTGTTCGCTCTTGCTGCGAGAATTGTGATTAAGATCCCTATAAAATTGATTCTCATTGCGAGTTACTCGAAGTTAACAGTTGCAAAGGCTTTTGCATACTAAAAACTCTTCATAGGAATGCTTCCTTATATATGCTGTTCTCTGGTCAGTTCAATGGACACTGATGCAATGCATCAGACAGAATGACAATTTAAATACGGCTGTAATCAAAACAGTCGGTATTTTTAAATTATAATTCCTTGAACTCTGATCCCCATATCAACAGCCTAGTTTCTTTAGAAGCCTTTCTCTTGTAATTGACCTGTCTTTCGATTAATTTCCGTCTTATATATATAACTATAAAAATAAATCAATATAAATATAAATATACTATTTAGCTTTCCATATTCTTTTTTTTTTCTGGAGCAACATTTATAATTATTTAAAACTTTTGTTCATTTTGCAGTCGTCCAGCACGATGATGACCCTTAAGCAGACCGGTATTCCCGCCTCCGAATATGATGCGATGAGGACAAATTGGTATCGATACTATTGGCATAGCATCAAGCAAACCTTCGGATTTGGCTCCTCCATATCTGATGCCTTATAAGCTGCACCATGAGCACATGGACACTGGCCAGGCCTAAATGCTTATTATCACACGAGTTCCATTCTACAGCGCTGCAAATTGATTTTCACCACCTTTAAGCTATCATTTCTGTGCGGCTGCGCACCGGCGCACTTTGTTAACACTTGAATACGGTATTTAAATTTATAGACGGAAACACTGTTCGACAGCAGCAGCAGCAGCAGCTCAGCAGCAGCAGCAGTAACAAAAATATTAAATAAAACAACAAATCAGGTCATTTAGTCATTGTTCAATCTATGCCACACACTCGACACTGATTCACACCTAATATAAACGGCGAAATAAATGAAAAATCTTAATGAACAACTATGCAATTTTAATCTAATGATGGGGAAATGGGTAAAGGGTCCTGTAAATAATGAGTTGCTTCAAAAGAGCTAATCAAATTATATTTCCTATAAAGCCAATCTACCGATCATTCAATAAACCCGTTTTGCTTGTGCCGCAGATTTGATAAGCAAACTTTTTCCAGCTGCTCATAGATGAAACTTAAAACTGGTATAATCCGATCGACTAATAAGCAAAGCATCGGTGGTTCAGTGGTAGAATGCTCGCCTGCCACGCGGGCGGCCCGGGTTCGATTCCCGGCCGATGCAAATTTAATTTTTTTTAACTCTTAAAAAAATTATTTCAATAATAAATTCATATATAAAATAATACCAAAACCAGGTCACAAGATAAGATTTGCATTGGCCAAAATGTATATAATAAATTGCTTATAAAATAAAGCATACGAACACTTTCATCTGATCACAGATGAAAATTGACATATCCAGTCAAGGAAATGTACCAAAAAGTGATCAAATTAAAATTGGTCGCAGCTATAATCTTTTATAAACATTTTAAAATAAATATTTGTAGGATGCAATAATATAGTGATCTTTAATACGTAGCAAAGGAAGTACGAAGTGTATTTTAAATTATAGAAACGACTCTTCCACTTAAATTATATGTTTTATCAAATCAGTATAATTAATTTGTATTTAATTTATAAATACATTGTTAATTACATACTATGAACTCTTGAACATATTTGTGCGAGCACTTGAGATTAGCTTTAGAGTATGGTCTTAAGCCTTAAGATGGTTAGTTTTGGTTCCCGATTCACAGAAGCATCGGTGGTTCAGTGGTAGAATGCTCGCCTGCCACGCGGGCGGCCCGGGTTCGATTCCCGGCCGATGCACATTTATCTATTTTATATTTTGTTTATGTATAAGCGCGATACATACATGACACATCTATGTGTATTACTTTTTATACGAACAGTCATATATAAACTAATTCAAGTCGATGCCTGTTTTTGGCCTACTTCACTTGGTTTATGAATTCGTTGTTATACTTATGCAGTCATAACCATGGAGCTTCAAATAATCTATGAATTATTTAAACACATGCTAATATATACATATCATTGTATTTTTTTTGTTAGTACATATTAGGCATTAACGGTCTATAGTTTCGTCAAGTGAATTTTGAAAAAATAAAATAACTGTGGAGTTAGCACATATAAAACAAAACTTTTTAAGTAAAAATTTTGTTTTTAATTTCCCAGAAGCTTAACACTATAAATTTTGATCCTCAATTTATAGAAGCATCGGTGGTTCAGTGGTAGAATGCTCGCCTGCCACGCGGGCGGCCCGGGTTCGATTCCCGGCCGATGCAGAACAATTATTTTATATCTTATTAATGCAAAGTAGTATCATTTTTTTGTAAATTAAACTATTTATAAGTCTTCGTAAATGCTTACCATGCTCTGAAGAGTTCCAAGTGCCTTATGGAATTGATTTCTTGTGCGTTGTTAAATGTATTTGATATTCTTTGAAGCTGTTGCTCTTGAAGGCGTCGGCACAAGCCGAACACTCGTAAATAAATTTGCCCGGATGTTTGCCCGTCTTGACAATATGTTTGCGTAAATTGTCCATGCTGCTGCACTGAAAGTCGCAGTGGGGGCACTGATGGGGCTTCTCCCCGGTGTGACGACGCATGTGACGGCTCAGATGACCCTTGATGCGCGCCCTGAACTCGCACTGATCGCACGAGAACCATTTGCCACCCTGGCCCATCTCTGGCTCGGCTGCATGCGACTTGAGATGCCTGCAGAAAAAGAGGGAGTAGAGAAAACTGTTAAGTATTCGCGCACTGCAAAGCCATATTTAAAATCTTCAGCTTGATTAGACGGTAAATTCCAGTGGCGGCTGTCCCCCAGCAACGCAGCCAGCAACTAATTGCTAATTTCGCATTCGAATCGCACGCTTGAAATCAAAATACAAAATACGAGTAAGTTGGCAACGACTTTGGGCAAACCAAAAGAACGCCACCGATCTTTACCGGCACCGGGACAGGCAGCGGCACCAGTAGCCAACACCAAGACCCAATACCCTCAGATGGAGATCAGTTTTGTAAACAGCGGCAAAGCGCATTTGGAAATGATCGTTCGCAGGGTTAGGCTCTGGACGCTGCGGCCAATGGGATATACAAAACATCCTAATATATTAAAAATGTTTATTCAATGCATAGTTAGATATGCATAAATATGTTATGTGATTATCACGTGATACTACAGTAACTGGTGCATTTTTCCAGGGTAAAAACGGAAAAACAGAACGGAATTGTTCTCAACGAAAAAGTGATCAAGGACTCTTTCCTTGACCCGAACTCCGGCGTGTATGTCATTTCAAGGCTTTCGATATATAAAATATATTTAAAATATATTTTTAGTAACGTGTCTCGCTGATCTTTGAACCTATATGCCCGAACGAAGCGACTGCTATACACGACTGAAGGGTGCACACAGTTACGCGCCTTCAATTACGACCCGATGCCGGTTCGGGCTTTTCGAGCTGTGCTCGACTCCCCTGTGCCCAGAAGCGGGATCGAGGCCTGCGGCTGACGCTCATTTGTTGCTGGTGTTGTTGTCCACTCCACTTATCAGCTACTGTCGAAACCGAGGACTCACAATTAATTGCCAATGTTCTGCGTGGTCGCCGAATCGGAATCTGTGTGAAATCTCAGGCACAGCTACAGAGGCGGGGGTGGGGACGGAAGCGAGGGCGAGGGCAACCCTAGTGCGGTTCATGCGCAGTCGGTAGGCTTAATTAGCGGCAAGTAATGTTGCCGCTGTTGCAGTTGCAGCTTCGTGCTTGGCAGCAAGTTGTAGGAGTTGCCTCCACCTCCTCCAACTCCTACTCCTCCTCCAACTGCTCCCGCTTCCCTCCCTCGGTGCGTCGTCTCGGGCGTCGCTTTGACCGGCGTCCGGCAATGCCGACAACCCATCGAACGTCCAAAACGAGGCCGAAACTGGACGCGTTTTGGCCAGCCTTTGAATTCCTGGACAAACTCCGCTCTTTTCTTTCTTTTGATAGCTAATTGAAGATCTCGACTGCCAGTTAAGCGCGTCACAACTGTGTCTGTGTGTGCTTGTGTATTTTAGTCGACTTTTGTGCGATTTATGCATGCCTGACAACTTAACCTACAGAACAAAACATTTTTAATGAGCTCCGTTGTGGCGTTTCCTCCAAATTGGGCGAAAGCAGCTCAAGTGGACACCCCGAACCTCTAAGTGTCTGTATTCTATCGTTCTCTTATCGAGTTCAGCTTCTGCTAGTTATATTTTAATTTTTATAAATAACTATCAAGCTTTCTTCGGTTGTGTATAATTTTGAGTAAGAAATTTAAAAATATATTTATGGATATATATATATGTATACGCGTTTTGGCCAACGTTTAAATTCTTGTACAAGCCGCATTCTTTTTCTTTTTTAATTACTTCTTTAGGTAAGGATACTATTAGTATAATATATGTATAAATAAAATGAAATATTTGATTTATTTGAATACAATCGGCTATAATTTCTTCCATTTCTTCCACACTCAATTTGTGGATTAAATAAAAAATTGCCCTTTGTTTCGTGAGCAACAGATCCCCAACGACCATAACGCAGTGTTTCGACAGTATTTCGGCATAATACAATACAAATAGTTAACTATAGAAGTGTACTCCGCATAGCTATCCAGCTATTCGATATTAAATATTCAAATTCTGCGCAACAGCAACAAAAGACGCAAAAGTTGTCCCCCATCAAAGCGATCGTTGCGATGCGTCGCAATGCTGCAAGACGAATACCCATTTATTTAGCTCCCAGTTGCAGCATCAATATGTGTGTGTGTGTGTGCGTGTGTGTGTGATGCAGTGGGGCGGACAGCTGCACAGTGGCAGGCAACGGTGGCAGTGGCAGTGGCAATGCCAATGCCGGCAATTGGCCCAAAGTCCGCGAACGTTGCGCCATTCGGATGCAGATCGACGCTGTCGTTGCGTCCATGCGAGGCATGAGGGGCAGGCGGCGCAGTGGCAGGGGCGGGTGGGGCAGTTGGAGCAGCAGCAGCTGCTGCCGCTTCATTTCCAAATAGCCATTCACGTCGCGTATCTTTGGGGCCAGTGGAGAGCGCAGTGGAAATATTACAAGAATTCAATGTGCATATCAAAGGCGATCGATAAGTCACGATTTTGTGGTACGACTCGGTCGACTCTCGATCCGATCCGTTTGGCTGCCTGCGCCGCAGCTCTCTGACTGCGATTGGCACTGCCCAGTCAGCAGCTCCTTTCAGTGTTTGCTGCTGCTGCAGTTGTTATTGTTGTTGTTCTCATCAATTTATGCAATTGCAATTCAAAGTCTGCAATTATGGATGACATTTTGCTCTTGTTGCTCCTTTTTATTACCATTTCCATTTGCTTTTTGCTGTTTGTTTTTTCTTTTGAGAAATTTAAATTCGTGTAGAAAATGTCGCTCGTTTATTTTCTGCGCCTGGCAATTGTATTTGACTTCATCGGTAAATCCAGATTAGCATTTTGTAGATTAGTAATAGCGCTGCGACATGGCGTCAGGAGTAGGCCTCGACCTCGCCCTATCGAGTATCGCTCGAATGGGAATTGAGCTCGATGAGTATGTAGTCGATTTAATATTACCTCTTGATTATTTGGAAACATTTTCAAGGAAACGAGTAAATTCTGCAGCCTCTTCTTTAGACGATAGGCGGATTGTAAAAGTCGCCGTTTCGAATGGTAAAAAATGGTTGGATATGGAATTTTGTGTGCGGAAGATTGAAATTTGAATACATTTTGGGGTTTGAGTACAAATCTATTTGATTGTAAATCCACTCATATATAATCTATACTCATTTTATTGTCAAGTTTTTAGTTTGCATATACAAATATGCATGTTTGTACATACATGCATGCATGTTTGTTTTGTATACATGCAAACATGAATGCGTATATACTTATAAATGCATGTATGTATTAATGCATTTCTGCATATAAAAATATATGCATGCATATATACATGTTTGTGTGCATGTATGCAAATATATGTACGCATGTTTGACCATATGTATGCATGCTTGTTTGCATTTATCCAAACAATCAAACATACATACATGCATACAGGAAGGTATGTATCTATTCCTACAAACATATTCAGGCACTTACTAAAAACTAACCAAATACTGCAGGGCCTCCTTGAATTCATGAGAATTGAGGAGTAGAGCACTTGGTAAAAATTCGTTTTATTTAATTTTACAGCACAGCTACAAATAAGCTTGTTCTGCGTTTGTTATTAGAAAACAACCATGCTTGCACACATATATAGATAAATACATGCATGCATTAACTAACGTACACATGCCTACGTACACATTTCCCGGTCAAGTCCCTTCCGATTTCCACTAGGTTTGGCTCTTTGTTTTTTTATCTTATACGTATCACGGCAGTACCGGGGTATAACCGTGTGTTATATAATTACTCAATGCAATATAAATCCTAATATGTGTGTAATATTATATAACTTATCTATATATCTTAGGCCTTCTCTCACCTCTTCAAGTGCAGCTCACTTTTGCCCACATAGTTGCAGTTTTCGTGTTCACACTTGTGATTGCCCTTGGCATGAGATATTAGATGGGTTTTAAGAGCCTCCGGCGTAAGGCCCGCATACGAACAGTCCTCGTGTTGGCACCGAAACTGACGTTCCACCGAAGCGTGGCTCATTTCGTGCAGTTTAAGTGAGTATCTAAAATGAAAATTAAAAGATTGATTTAAGAGTCAGTCTACAATTGAAAAATGGAGTCGGCGAAGGTGGGAGAAATCTGTGTGACGCTCTACGTCACATTGTTCGCTTTTATTTTATATGTTTTGCATTTTATTAGAAAATTGTTTAATTACATTAAATCAAAGCAAAAGTAATTCGCACCAGAGTCACGTTCCATTCGCCCAGGCCGTCCCGTCAGACAGTCGGCACGTTTGGCACAGGGACACAAACCTGGACGGACCTAGGCCACGTCCACACCAAAAAGGAACACAGTAGTCGTCGTCGGCCCACAAACCAAATGCAAACTCGTTGGCAAAACTTTTGTGCACATCAATTACGGATGCTAATTAATCGAAACAGCTGAGAGTCGTCGTCGTCGTCGCCGACTTTAAAAAGAGTCCAACATTCGGGACTCTTTATTTGCATTTGTTTAAAAGGCATACGGCATAAAAACGAGATTTGGGAAGAAGAACTAAACAATTTTGCTTGGGATATGAGATATGAATATATAGAGGAAATCACAGTATAGAAATAATAAAGTTTATTTCGTTTATCTATCTAAATTGGGTTTAATTCTGTTTAATTTGTTGATCAATTTATTTGTTTTGTACATTTGAAGTTTATAGGAACCTTCAGAAAGACCGCAGATGAGTAAAGCTAGATCTACTATTTCTACTTAATATCGCTCGAAAAGTAATTATATTTCGACTTATAATGTAAATGGAATTGTCATTGAGTTAGTAAACGATTTGTGCAACAGAATTGTTAATGTTATTTTAGGGCAAATAAATAATAGCCAATGGAAGAGCCGCTATGCGCATAAATATTGAAAGTGTTAATTTCCGTTGTTCATTTGGAATTTATGCGGCGTTGGCTCTTGAAAAAGATTCTTCCTAATAATGCGCGACATTAACAAAGTTTCAATCTTTAATCTAAATTCCTCTTAACGGCAACAATGCCAGGAAAAGCAACAGCAGAGATATGGCTATAAGGAATAGTGGGCTCAATGGCACGAAAGGGGCGGCTGGGTGTGGCCTGTGTTGGTGTTGGCGACATTGTCATGCATTTCTAATGATGCCGTCGCGTGGGCGGCAACAGCAGCAGCAGCAGCAGCAGCAACTGGAGCAGGAGCAACATCCTCGTCGACGGCGACGGCGGCGGCGTTGATATGTGAAATGTCACTTTGTATGGAGTTTGAATAGCAACGAGGATGACAACGACAACAGGATGACGGGCGTGCTGCGAGAAGCACGGCTGGGGAGTCAACGTTTGTCCAAGGCGTTGCCAGCCGTTTGAGACGTTGACAAAAGGATGCCATTTCACCTGCAGGAGTTTGCCGTAAATTGTTGTTGTTGCTGATGTTGCTGTTGGTTGCTGCCATTCACTGGGATAATGGTGCCGCCAGCAACAACATAATGCTGAGAGAAAAGCACTGCGAATTAGATGCAACAGCAACGGGAACAGCAACAAAATTATCTTTCGCTCGGTTCGTTCCTGCCTTGTATTTTCAGTTATAACATTAACTTTTATTTGCTCAGCTGCATTTCACAGAGCTGCGTGCTCCGCCCCGCATGGACAGCTTCTCAGCTCAGTTTTCAGCGATTTCCACAACTCGAAGAACTTCTTTGGCTTTAACACGCCGTCTGTCCCGCTGATTCGTTTGCTTCTGCTGTTGTCAGATATATTTTCAGGGCACAGGCCCCAAGGACATTAGCGTAAATTAAATTAAATTGTGCGCCAAGCCAATTTGCACAGGTGTCTGGTGAAACTAGAAGAATATCTACATATATGCGCATATGCCTGCATCCATGTATTCCGTATTTATATTATAAAAACAATTGCTTCTTTTTATAATCAATAAGTTTGTTCCTTAATTGTATCTAATTATGAAGCATAGGTACGTTTTTTTGTTGCGAAATCGGTCGGATCTGTCTACTGTCCAGCTATATAGCTAACATCAAACTTGGCATTTGCAAGTTGTATCATGAAAGAATCGATTCAAACAGAATATTGACTAAATCGGCAGAATCATACAATAATGCAAATTCTTATCAATCGGACTACAATACTTTGCTTTATAGGTAGAATGTTTTGGTAAATAAGCTCTTTGGAAAACATATCTATTTGTCAGGATATCTTGACCAATAAAGTTTGGGACATGACCAGGATAGACAGGTCTTTAGGTTTTACACAAAAAATATTCTAAAAGTCCTTTTTTAATAATACAATTCAAATTTGATAAATTTTTTAAAGAATATGCAAACTTGTGGCCTTTAAGAAGCCCAAAATCTACACAAGTTGAAGCTGCAGAAGTGCATTTAAAATCTAAACACGCCCAGCATTGAGGCGCCGCCTTTCAATACGGATGCGAATGCGGATGCTGATGCGGATGCGGATGGTGGTTCCGATGCAGCGAAGCTTCGTTGCGATTAGTTGACGAAACGTTTCACGCCCGGCGACGAAAACTTTGCCCTTTTGTTCTGCAGTCAATGGGTGTGGATGGGCGATAGACGACGGGCTGGGTTAGGCGGATCTGGGAAGCGTATGGTGGGTGGGCATTCAAAGACAAACTGGGGCGTCTCTGGGAATCAGTCGAGCAGCAGCTGCACGCGGCAAAGAAGCTGTTTGGCTTTGGTGTTGTGTCAACTTTTGCACGCCATCCATTAGCAGCGCGGCGAGACGGCGGCTGGGGAATGCAATAGCAAAGGACAACTGGCAGGAAGCCCAAGATGCTGAGCAAACATGATGCGGCTGCGGATGCGCGGGTTGCGGGCGGGTGCATGGGGAATGCGAGCTGCGGCAGGTGCAAATGTATCCTGCTGCTCATTGTCAGCTGCATGCGAAGGTGCCACTTTCTCGCTCCCTCTCGCTCTGACTCTCTGTGCGGCATGTCTTAGACAATCGCATGTGTGTGCTGGAGTGTGGGCTGTTGCTTGGGTTTTTGGGCAAAGTCTGGGCGACTGCCACCCGTCGCAGTCAATGTTGTTGCGCTGGCATTGTTGTTCCCAAAACTCGCATAAATATTTATGACAGTCTCTCTCTTGCTTGTCGCATCGTGTCTTGTCTTGGGCTCTGCCTTGTTCTGGGCGGGTAAGTTTTGTGCCGCGGGTGTTAGTCACCAGTGCAGCGACTGCTTCCGGTGTCAGTCACAAGGATGTGCTCAACTTTTGCCGCCCCTCAGCCCCCAGCCCCCAGCCAAACCAAGCACAACCCCACCAAGCCCAATAGCCATAACCCCTTATCCACATCCTCAGCCAGTTTGCCATTTCTTGGCCAACTTTCATGTAATTGGTACGTAAGTCTTGTGCCGTCTTTTCAGTTCCCAAGTTGTTGTTCGCTTGTGCGACATTAGCTGGATTTTGATGGCTCGTCCTGTGTTGCATGTGAAATTAGTTACAGGGGCGTGGCAGCACATTTATGCCATGTGTAATTAGGGAAGTGCCCAACACCTTTCAACATTACGCGTTTGCCTTTTGCCGCTTATCTGCCTGGCAGCCCAAAACTTGATGCTGCACAAGTATCTTCGCCGGAAATTACCGTTAAATGTCACCCTTGCACTTGTACTCTACACACATACACACGCTGCTTGCCCCAAGAGGCAATCCCCATCTTCGCAGTGCATTCCTATTAATACCGCAGCGAGCTTCAAGTTCTTAATGTGCAAAAATGTGCTCGAGCTTCGGATTAGTTGTACGCTGTGACCCAAATCTATTTTAATCTTGTTTACTTTTATGAAGGTTCAAAGAATTTCATCTAGTCAGATAGTCAAGAAAGTACACATGTATTATCCAACCTAGGCACACATGTTTGCCCTGGGAAGCTATCAAATGTACAAAATAGAATATCTTCGACATGCCAAAAATTAAAAACTCTTGTGGACATTTGTGAAGCTCTGTCTGAAACTGAGAGATCCTTTGTTTGAACTTAATTTTTGACTTTGTTTAAATAAACACTCAAACACTCAGACATGCATATTTATTTATAATATCGAACATATGTACGAAAGAAGCCCTTGCTTACGATTCGAATTGCTTCTCGCAAACAAAGTTGTATGCATCCTCGCAATCGGCATCGTTCATGTCATATGAAAATCTCTTGCGCAATCCGACGCAATCATCGTGACTATACTCATCATTTGGCTCTCCGCTGCCCCACTTCAGAAAGGTTGCGTTCAGGCCAGTGGTGATAGATTGAAAAGTGCCCTCAGTAGCAAGATCATTGACATCCACCCAATAATTGTCTTTGCTCAGCTTGTTCTTGAGTGCATCCAGCTCAGTATCGTTTTGCAGACTCGCCAGATGTCCGTCCAGGCTGTGGCATTTATGCAATGCTCCGAACCAGTCGAGTTTCTGATTGTTTTCGATAAAATAGTATTTGTCTCCAATTTTCTTAAATGGAGCTGTATCCGTAGGTCGCAATTTTTTCTTATTCAAATTTTTTTCGAAAGTGTCAAACCTTTCGTTCAACAGTGTTTCCACATTGTTCAACTTGCTTAGCTCATATTTATTCGGTCTCCACTTGTGCATCGCTATCGCATGCTCCAACAGGGGCCTCACGAGTCCAAAGCATTCGCCTTCCCTGAGAGCTCTCGGTTGAATATCCTCCAGAGAATCCTATAACGGCGCGCACAGTTTTGAAATTATCTCTTACAATTGGGAAGCTAAACTTACAGAGATTGATTCGCTGCTGCCATGTGCTGCCAGGAACGTGATTAGAAGGCCAACAAATATCTCCTTCATATTTCACTAAATATATTTTTGCTTTCTTCTACAGACGGACAGCAGAAAACTGAATCATCCGGTTAAATAAACTGCCTTATATATTCTTTATCCGGAAGTATTCGTTTGCGTGAAATGGTCGCAATCTGTGTAGTATGTGTGGAATCACAATTTCAGGGGGACTATTAGATAAGGTCACATATTACGCAAGGTCGTTGAATATTTTCCTTATTGTTATCAGACTGTGCCGACTTTCAAGGTCTTACAATTTTATATGCCTCTTTTATGCATTTATTCTTTAAAGTCTACGTTTCTACACACGTGATCTAATAAATATGGCGGCTGTTGTTACCCGACACTGCGCGGCTGCTTTTTTATACATTCATGAAATTTTACATAGATCTTTTTCAATGGCATAATATTCTGCTCTCAACGTCATTTTCATCTAAATCAGCATTTACCAGCAAATTTTTGGAATGATCCTCTAATAATCCTAAAGGTGTGCCGCAAAGATTGTAGGTAAAAATCGATATTTATCGATCTTAGGGAATTGGGATAATATCGCAAAGAAAAAAATTAATAGCTTCTTCTGAATACGTTATTAGAAAGTCTTCAACAAAAATTGAAAGATGCATCCGCTTTCGTTAGATATATAGATTTACACAACTGCAGTATCATATACTCTGTTTATAAGTATTTTTAATGAGAACAGAGTAAATATGTATAAGGGGTTTTTACCAGGCATTTTCTGTAACCTAAGACACACTACAATGTAAAAGAAAATATAATACAAATGCATGCAATTTCTAAACATTTCATGCCCACATCCAAAAAAAACTGCTAATTAAAAATGCTGAAAACAATAAACGGAAACAAGCCTCAGGACTCGGTGCAATGGATCCGTAATTTACTTGCTCATATGAAAATGTCATGCAATTTACCCACCCCGTACTTGTGGTATTCCCGAAATAGTTTGGACTCGGGGCGGGTAGGTAGCAAGAAATGCAGCAGAAAAAGCTCTGCAAATGAAAATTGGGGAAGCGCGCATTTTGCATTAATTAAAAATTCCAAGCGAAAAGCGATTGCTGCAAGTGCAAAATAAGTAACCAAAAATAACTCATTAAGTGCTGGACATTCTCGGCACACACACACACACACACACACACACACACACACACGCATTTGTGGCACATATGGCAGGACTGCAACTGGAACTGCCACCCGCCACAAAGTATGCAATGCACTCGCAAATCAAGCCTGCGGCTATGCCACCAAAAAGTGCAATCGTCCTGCCGAAAAAATAAACAGAATCAACAAAAGATATATACTAACATGCTGCAGCAAGCGGGCACAACATGCGGCACATGTTATTTGCAGCTCTCCAGCCAGCCAAAGAGAATAAAAAATAAATAAATAAAATAAAATTCATTATTATAGTCCTTTGCTTAACTTTTGTTTTGCTGTTTTTAGGGATTATGTAATAGGAATAAAGACATTCCAAATGCACTGCTTAAAATCATTTTATTTAATTAATTAAATTGCTAGTTTTGCTGAATTCATAAATTTGCCAATTTCTCCAGTTTTTGCTCACTTTAGTAGCTTTTATGAATGCTTAAATAAATTGGCCTTTTTGGTAGTACAAAATGAATCATATTCTGGTAAATTGAAATACAAAAGAAAGAATTTTGGGTATGCACTTTTCGCCTTAAATTAAGTCGATTAATTAACTAAAGACTGTTCTGCTAGAAAAAGTTTGATTTAGTTTTAAAAGTAGTTTTAAATATTATAAATCATTCATTGAAATATGAAGACCTCGAAATCGAGATATGTTCCTTCAAATGAAACATTCTTGCATGAAAATTTCCTTCTCTGGCTAGCTGTATTTATTATCGTCTGACTCACAGGATTACTGTCGGAATGCCATTAGCCTCGACAGATCCAAATCTGGCCATCCAATTACGTTTCAGCCATAACCAATCATAACTTGCTCAGTCTCCACAGCGACGACGTCCACACGTATACACATACGCATATATATATCCATATATATCCAAGCCCATATTCCATAGTTGATGCTCGCTGCCAAGTTGCAACTAATTCCTTAAGCAAACATTAAGTTGAATTGCAGCGAGTTGCCGGAACAGGCAACGGATCTGAGACTGAGTCGGACTGGGAATAACTGGATGCATAAAGCAAGCGCATGGCAGCTGGAGACTGAGAAAGAGACAGGAACAGAGAAAGGGACAGTGACTGGTGCAGAGAATTTTCCACTTTTCAAGTGATTATTTGAAAAATTTATTAAAATGCTCATTTGAAGTTATTGTCGTGCGCGCTTGATGTAGATACTTTGCTTTTACGACTAACGAGACCGAGTGGCCGGCAAGGAGTCGACTCGCAGATCAACTCGGAGTAAGAGCGAGACGGCTAGAGAAAGATAAGAGAGAGAGAGAGGAGCGAGAAGGAGCCGCACAAAGTTTCAGAACGCCCCAGTCGAGAAGAGGACGCGACGCCTTCATCGACTCCGTCTCCGTCGTCATCGTCAGTCATGTCAACGGCGCAGCGCAGCTCACTTCCGGAATTCCAGACTTGAACTAACTCAACTTTTACGGCTGCTGGCTGCTAGCTGCTGGTTAGCCGGGGTCCTGTGCGGATACTTTGCCAACATCAGCATCAGCATCAGTCTAAAGTTTCTGTCGTCGTCGTCGTCGTCGTCGCCATCGCCATCGTCCTCGTCGTCGTCGTTGGGCAATTCACTTTTATTGAAATGGCGTGCAATGTTCTGTTCTGTTTGGCTGGATACGGAATCGGATTCTTTTGGCTGGGGCGAAATGCGGCGCGGCTTCGTTTCGTTTCGCATTTCCAATTCGTTGTTGCCTCTTCTGCTCATTTTGTCTACCCTTCCAGAGGTTATAATAATATTGATACCAAATGTGTTCCCGCAGCATTAAAATTATGTATATTTTAGATCGGGCAACAAAGGGCTCGAGTTTCAGGCGCTTGGTGTTGAGATTCATTTCAAAAGTTGGTTTGATATTTTAAACCTTATAATAATATTCTAGATCAGGCCGATGGATTGATATGATGATGATCTATATATCTGTCAATTGTGAAGCTATCTAGAAGAGAGATTGTGCTGAACCACAAATCAGCCGGATTGAACTATATCAGTTGTCGATCTGACTCAAATATTTGAGAACTCGCATATTTGTTAAGTGTCCGAGAGGGTATTTAATCTTCGGCACTTTGCAGTTGAGGGTTTTCTTCTTGTTTCTTTTATGTCTGCGCTTTTAGTTTATTTTATTTTGTATTTTAAGTCATTCCTCTGCTGCATCATTCGCTGTCCGGGAGTTGATTCTGTTGATGGCACAAAGTGCAGTGCAATTCATTTTAATGGTAGCTTCCCATAGTCGCAGACCCAGCCCATGAGCCCATACACCGCCCGGTCCTGTCCAGTCCAGCTGTTCGTTCCGTCACTTGAGAGTCAATTTCAGAAAACTTGATTTCCCATTTCCAATGCCAGCGCCAATCCGACGATTTAAGGGATTGCCTTGGATTCCTACTCAACACTCGCTGTGCATTCATTCATTTTTATGAATCTGCGAAATTGACTCGGACATTGTTCGGTTTGCGGTCGAAGGCAGAACAGAACAGAAGAGAATACGGAACGTGTTGTGGGTTGCCTCGTCTCATTTGAAGCTCGCTCCATTCCCAATCGCAGCTGTTGATGGTCATTGGCATGCTTTTGGCTCTGCCAGTGGCAGCCGCATTGAAGGTTCTTGCTTTTGTTGCATGTGGCATGCCCTCATGAGCATCACGTCAGAATGCATAACATATATCAAGTGTCCCAAGAGCTGAGCTTTTAAAGAAGTCTAGAGAAACTTGTTGGGCTGACTGGGTAAGTGTATTGCATTGGCATCAGCAAAAGAAAAATTTAATTTAAATCAATTTCATTATATATTCAGAGCACAAGATAAATCATAAAACCAGGATATATATAGTGATTTGTTCTAATTAGATTGATTAATATTTCTATACAAAATACACTTTAATTTTTTTTCTTAATTTTTTGATGTAGTATTGTTGACCGGCATTATAGGAATTTTCGTAGACTGTATTTATTACTGTTATCATCCATTTTAGGCAGAACGGAGCATCTCCGACTATTTTTATTTGGCATCAATAACCGTCAATCCAGCCATGTCCGTTGGATCACACGTCCGTCTGCTGAAGGTCCTCTTAAAGTTCATTGAAAAGCATTGATAGCTTATCCGTTTTTTAGTAATCGATAAGAATGAAAGATTGATAAGAATTGAAGATCGATAGGAATCGAAAATCGACGAAAATCGAAAAAAGATAAGATCGTAAAGGATCTAGATCTTGGAATTTTGCCCTTGCAAGGTATACACATATCAAGTTTATTTTAACTTTTTGATACCTCCTCCCCTTTCCACAAAATAAAATATAGAAAATGTCCGCTAAGAGCATAATAGATAAATTTTCCGGTAATGCAATGGGAGCTTGTGTGTTTTCCAGCTATAAGCCGACTGAGTGGCGATCAGACATTTGACAAGATTTAAGATTTAAGTTTATAGATGAAATAAGCAAAAACTTTTTATTGTGCACATTTGTAGATACAATCGCTCATTTTCTTCACTCGTCGAGTATCTCGCAGACGAAATAGTTATTCTTCTCACATTGGATGTCATACATAAAATAACCAGACCCATCCTCACGTTTGCGGATTTCGACGCAATCCTCGTCGTTGTCTTTGTTATCGGGTTCAGTATCATCCCATTTCAGGAAAGTCGCATCCTTGCCAGAGGTTAACGATTGGTATTGTCCCTCCTGGCTAAGGTCATTGATATCGACCCAAAAGCCGTGCTTTGCAGCATTGTTACTCGCCTTGAGAGCCTCGATTTTTTCAATTATTGCATTAAAAACGTCTTCATTTTTCACATTAGCCAAATGCCCGCCTAGCGATCGACATACATGAGCTGCTCCAATCCAGTTATTCTTATATTCGTCTTCAAGAAAATAAACTTTCCGGCTCGTATTACTTTTATCATTAGCTGGTTCTTTCGGATTTTCAAGCTTTTCAAACCTCTCATTCACCAAAAGCGTAATTTTCGCCAACGCCTTGTGGGCACTCGTCTCGAACGCATAGCCCTGCTCATCAAATCGGGTCTGCATTTTGATCGTATAATCGATCAAGGGCCTAACGAGCTTAAAGCAACCGCTGGAATTGCGTCTTCTAACTGGCGCAAGTTCCACGAATTCCTGTGAGATGGCAACACACACTTAAGACAATCTACAGGTTAATTGGACGGTTGAACTCACATCATTATCGTAACAGATTCCTTGATGGACCAGAATGGAGATTAGAAATGCTACCAATATGATTTTCATTTTAAATATATATAGTAGTCCACAAAAAGCCCGCAGAAAACTGATGCATTCATGAAGACAATCTGCTTTATATATCAACTTATTGCGGAAGTGGAGATTTGCTTTTAGCAAATAGTTTCCGTCTGATGTGTGAAATTATACACTCAATTATAAATTCCCTTTTAGCTGATTTAGATCAAGGTGTTACGCAAGCCTGTTACAACTTTATTCCATATCCGAATCGATAATTTGTTATGCATTTTAAAAACAGCCAGCGTTATGCAAATGAAATGACAAATTACTCTAGAAGCAAATCCAAAATTGGTCTGCATTATGGAAAATACATTTCATTGGAGTCTCAGCTTAGTGTGAAACACAATCGGCTGAAGATAATAATAAAGTTTCAAGTAAACTTATTCATAATTTTATACGCTTTAACAGGATATTTGCAAAAGTCAATATTTGTACTCATTTATAACCGGTTAAATAAATAATGTTTAAAATTTAAATGGTTCGAAATTTGCTCGCATATCATGTTCCAACTTTACATATATAAATCCGTAGAAATAAATATTGTCTTTCATTTTCTTGGTGGCTCGAATCCTGAGCTACGTGTTGGGTAAGTAATCAGTAATCAAGTCCTACACAAATAACTTTTTTGAACCAGCCAAAAACTTTGATTGTTGTTACTTTCATTAATTTTCATATTCATTTTTGTTGCTTTCTTTATCTGCGCTTTTCTATGTGAATAAATGTTAAAGATAGAAAATTGCTGCTGGATTTGTACAAGCGAACCCTCGCTTGTTCTCCAACATCGATCTAAAAGGAAGTTTCATCTTTCTAGATCTTCCTATTTGAGCGAAACGTTGGGCACTTCAAGCTATTAATAACTATTTTAAATATATCACAATGCCGGAAATGTCTTGTATGCACACATTATGGGGTAAATATTAAATCAATTTGAATTTAAATAAAATAAAATAGATCAGCCTAATATCCCTTAAAGGGTACTTACTTTTTTGCTAGAATTTTGCCGCAGGTGCCACACTGAAATTTCGTCTTCGACACAGGCGGCTTCCGTTTAGCTGTTGTCTTGGCTGCTGCCGTCTGATCCCGATCGCCATGCATGGTGGCCATGTGATTCTTAAGGTTGTGTCTTCTGGCGAACTTTGCCAAGCACTCGGCGCACTCGAAGATGCGCTCGTCCGTGTGATTGCGCAAATGGGCACGCAGCGAGTGCTTGCGAAACTGTTTGGGACAGAGCGGGCATTGCAGTAGCTCGTCCTTGCCCATTGAGGAGCCGCGTGTATGGAAGAAACGATGATAGAGCAGATCCGACTCGTACTGGGCGCTGAAGCTGCACTGATCGCAGTCAAAGTTCTTGGACTGGGCTGGAGCTGGCGCAGCTGTGGAGCTGGAGGCGACGGGCTGGCAGCTGCGTGTGTGGCGACCCAGCGCCTGGGCGGACTGAAAGCTGAGGCCACAGCTAAGGCAGGCATGATTGTCCATGGGATGTGATTCCCTGCGATGCTGAATCAGCGCCTGCGGTGTGTCAAAGCTAAGCTGGCAGCTGGCGCATTGACTCACCAGGCGGCGCCTCTTAGAGCTGGCCACTGCTGCAGCTGCTGCTGCCGTCGGCTTTTCAGGCTGCCGCTCCTCCAGCACCTCGCGCAGCATGTGCTCTATCTCGCGCTCCGGTTGTGTGCTAGATTTGCGGCTGGGCTGGCGACTTGCACGCCGCTTGTGCTGCATGAGGCTGCGATGGCGACGCGCCTCCATCGGCGTCTCGAACTCCAGACGGCAAACGGCACAGTAGTATTTGGCCAGGCGATGCTTGTGCTTCTCGTGCCGCTGCAGCGCCACTCGCGATCTCTGTGCAGCTCCACAAATCCCGCAACGAAAGCGGCACTGATAGTCATCGGAAGCGCTGCCCGTGGCCACGATTCCGGCGTGCTCCGTCGCAAAGTGACGCCTCAACTGCACATTGTATAAGAAACTGGCGCTGCACACGGAGCAGCTCAGCTGTCGGCGCTGGGCAATGCAAACGGGCACCGATCGATTGATGGCGAACAGCACCTCCATGTGCGTGTTGCCCACCAGATGCTGCCACATCTCCTCGTTGCTCGCGCACTCAAACTGGCAGTAGCTGCACCAGAAGCTGCCGCCCAGTCGTGCGGTGAGCTCCATATGAGCAGAGGAGCGCCAATGTGCCTGCAAGTTGGGTACACAAAATAAATCAGTCATCGATATAAAGTCAGGTAAAAATATCGTCCTATATCTGATCATCTAATACTTCGCGAAGTAGTTGCTTATCAATTTGTGGTATTTTAAAACCTCATGGAGAATTACGACAGTCGGTGAGTGTTGTTGATAATATTAATAAAACAAATCCTTTTTATCTACAAATATATACTCTGCTTATAAGAACCACTAAATCTAATCCTGTGATCAAGTTTGCATATACAAGTATGCAAACTAATTTCCTTAAGTGAACGTGGAACAATTTCACCTGTTAGGGTGGAAAACGAGTGGAAAGGTTTACATTGCAAGTTGTTTTTATATGCATTTCGACGATTATAAGCAATCCGCCACAATAAGCGGAAAATTGACGGAAAAGAGATTAAGTTATATAAGAAGAAACAGAGCCTCGTACCTGGAAAGATTGCTCCGTGTTTGCATAGAAGCGGCAGGGCAGGCACTGGAAGGGCGCCTGTCGCACTATGCTGCCCATGTGCTCTAGTATGGAGTGCAGAGAATTCTGGCGGCGCAGCTGTGTTTGCTGCTGCTGCAGTCGTCGATAGTGATAGTGTGAGATCAGGTGCTTGCCCATTAGATGGCGGGCCATGCTATGGCGGCACAGCTCGCAGCGTAGCAGATTGGCTCGACGCCGGCGACGGCGCTGCAGCTGCTCCGCCGGCGCTGGCTCAAAGTCCTTGGTGAGGGTGAGATTGGCGCCCTCGAGATTGGCTTGCTCCAGCTGGCATTCAGCCTCGGCGCGGCGCTGATGGTAGCCGCTGCGCAGATGCTGCTCGTAGTTGAGTCGCGTCTTGAGGCGCCGGCAGCAGATGTTGCACCAGTAGCTGGCGCCCGGCTGCTGCAGCTTGGTCAGATCTATGTTTTCGCGGTACTCCAGCTGCTTGCTGCCCGGTACCCACTTGCCATGCGTATGCTCAGCAGGCGGATGGTCGTGCGGATCTTCGGGCGCCTCGTCCCAGCTGGGCGAGATGCGCTCCAGATGCGTGTGACGTAACTGAGGACGATGTTCCGGTTTCCATTTGCCGCCCGTGTGCGTGGCGGGCACGGTCGGCGGAGAATGCCGCGAGTGCCGCGCATCGTAATCTTCGTCAGCATCGTGATCGTGCTCGTGCTCGTGCTCATGATCGTGCTCGTGATCATGATCTGCATCATCGTCTTCCCCATCAAAGTCATCGGGCTCCTCCTCATCCTCCTCCTCCTCGCTGGCTTCTGGTGAGTGCACGAATTTGAGCGGCTTGAAGTCGGATTCCTCGTGTTCCCGCACCGCCTTCAGCAATGGATCTGAACAGCTGCTGGCCGAGTGCCAACTCTGTTCTTCCTTGGCTCCTCGATCCGGGCGTGCGCCTGTCTTGCCTCCCGTTGAGACGCTTTGCAGCTGCAGCGAAGAAAAAAACAAATCGGCGCCCAGCTCATAAGTCGGATCATAGGTCTCTGTCAGGGACTTGGACGTCTTTCCGCCATGGCTGGCGGTCGTCTTGCGCAGGTAACTGCTCGGCGCTTCCGGCTCCGCAAAGTGGAAGCCGTCATAGCTGTGCGCCAAGTTGGAGCGACTCATGATCGTGGACGACGCCACGTGCTCGGTACGAGTCGTAGTCGTCGTCGTGGTCGGAGCCACCACTTGCTTCGCCACACGATCATTTCCAACTATGCCTAAGCAATTCCGCTTGCGGTGCTCAATGTATTTGCTCAGACCAACAATGGTCGCATTGCATTTAATGCACAGGTGAGTGTCCTCCAGATCATCCGATTCGGCGTTCATTATTGTAAGCTGCAAGGCACGAAAGCAAAGAGATCAGCTTGATGGGAGGTGCTTTAATAATCAAATAGGTAAATAAAAATATGATCTTGTTGAATTTGATTCCTACTCAAAAAAAAAAAATAAATAAATAAATAAAAAGAAAGATAGACTCTCTAAACATGACCATTTCCGGCCAGATATGGAAATATAAGACCTTCCTAAGATGCGTAGCCAAGTCCTATTCCTTCTCTTTGCCCCCCTTTTTTTCTGTTTGCCCTGAGGCCATTTTGATTGAGTGCATAAAATAGACTGCCTGATTTATTGAGATCTCGTCGGAACAGTCTTTATGCCAAGCCAAACTAAGCTCTCTTTAGCCGCATCGTTGGGCAATCGGCAAATAAACAGAGACCGTCTAAATGCTGGCCCGAAGTGCAACGCATCCTGCCGGGTCATATTTCAAGCCCAGTTTATTCATTAGCTGGCAGCTCGGCAGCATGTAGCCAACTGTAAGGGGCGTGTGGGAGGAGCGCAGATGGGGGTCGCCATCATCAACAGCCAATCCTGTTGCCCATCCCTGTTGCATCAACATCACCACAGCGTTGACATGCCGGCGCGCCTGTGCGTGTGCTCCTGTGCCCGGGCCTGTGCCTGTTCCTGTCCATGTGCCTGTTCCGGCCACCCCGCACCGTTCCGTCCCGACCCGCTGCTGTTTTGTGTTCCTGTTTATGTCCGTGTCCGCCTGTTGGCATTGCGGCCTGTCAGAAATGAAGTTTATTGCGTCTGTGTAGCGTACGTGTCGCGCGCTATACCTCTCTCACTCTCCGCTACTCTCTCTCTCTCTCTCTCGCTCGAGGCTTACGCCTCGCGATGCTAAATGTAAAAGTGTCATTTCCGCCATATGTGAGCGCGATGAACGATGCGTCGCTGTCGACGTTGACGTCGACGTCGACGTTGGCGCTATTGTTGCCGTTGTTAATAATTTCACAGTACAATTGCTGCAGCAGCAGCAGCAGCAGCAACAACAACAAGAAAAACAACAACAGCAGCAGCAACAATCAGAGGCAGCAGTTGGCAGTGGCTGCTGTTGGAATTTATACAAACGAGGCCCATGTCTGAGGTTAAATACGAAAAACATAACAATTCGCACAGCCCCCAGCCCAACAAGCACTCTTTCTCGCTCTCTCTCTTGCTCTCACTCTATGTGCGTGGGCGGATGTCAAGGCATTTGGCGCTGCCGTTGATGATATGAACGTGAAACTGAACGTGCATGTTGGATAGGAATACCGTAATATGGAATATATGGCAACGCCGCCTGCTATGCTTTCATCCGTCTAACGAGAACGCGCGACAAGCACAATATTGAGCCAGACTGTTCTAACCGTTCTATTGTTGATGCTGTTCGAGTGATAAACGCGCGTTTGTTTAATAATTAACATGCTTTGGCACACATGCACAGTTATTCCTTCAAGTACCCTTCCGCACTCTCCCTCTCTCTCTCTCTCTCTCTGTCGCTCTGCTTCTAGTCAGCTAACTATTGTGAGCTGTTTGGCTCTTACCAATTTTTATATGTCTAATTAGCGGGCTGTCTGATTTTCAACAGTGTGGCAACACTTGGCCCGTGACTGTGTGCATGTGTGCGTGTGTAAGTATGCGTCTTGTGCGCCTTGTGATTCATGATAATTGCTTATTACACATACAAATATTTACACGCCTCCAGTGTGCGTCGTAGGCGTTTAAGCAACTAATTGCCATCTAATTGCACATATCCTGCAATTTATGTGCTGAGTACCAAGGCTCAAACTCAAAGTCAAGACAAGCGATTCGAAATTAATGAGACACCTGCGAAGCAAATGCCCAAATGTGAAGCTGACACAAATGACATAAATAAGTTTAAGGATTTACACTTAGATAGGCATCATTTTCTATACCCATTAAAAGATGTATTGAGGGCATGTTCAAGTTCTGCAAGTGTATGTAATATGCAAAAAATACATCCGATTAATAATGTGTCTGCATAAATGGTTCAATTTCGGAGAGTTAGCTCCATAAGTCGAATGCAATTCGTACTTTATACTTGTTTTCAAAATTGATGGCCTGAGATTTCCTTAAGATTTACAATCCGATCGGCTTCGAAAACATTGAGAAGGATCTTTGTTAAAATTCATCTGATGGGTGTTTGACACTTTTTAGAAAATCCATTCCTCCTTGGAGGAAAGGGGGTCATATATTTTTTTATAATACCCTTGTTATGTCTTGCAAAAAAGGAGTGGCAAAATATATTAAATGTTTAGCAAAATTCCAATTATTCAAGAAGTTCATGAAAACTACAGACCTTGCAAATATAATTATATTATAAGTACTAATAATAAAAATAATTAAATAATAGTAATATTAAAAAGATTTTATAAATAAATGATCTTTTTAAAACTAACCACATTTTAAATTTTGGTTTGAAAACTCTCAAAAGTATGCTATGCTAAAAGATATGAGGAGATTATTATTTTTATTTTGTTGGTTAAAATGTTTAAGAAGAGTAAATGAATTAATGCAAATGCATTCGATTGAGGAAAACGTTTAATAAGTAAAAACCATTCGCACATGCGGATATGCGAGTGATTACAATGTGTGTATGTGTGTAGTTAGTGGCACATACGAACTCATAGAGCGCACTTATATTGAGGAATTAAATAATAAAAGCAGTTAAGAGCTGCACAAGCACAATTGTGCCATTATTTGCATTTGTGACAACGACGACGACCAATGGCAACGGCACCCATCAACAACAATAAAAGCAATGGTAATACCAACAGCAACAACAGCAACAACAACACACAGAGCAACAAAACAAGGGAACACAACATTGTTGAGGCCATCATCAGCAAGCAGAGCAATGCGACAGGCTGGCAAATGCCAGGGACAATGTGGACGAGAAATCCTCGTGGTTGTTTGATTCGAAAATTGAGTTTTAGCGGCGCAAATAAAAATAAAACTTAGAACAGCAACAGCAGCAGCAGCAACAACAACAACAACAACAACAACAACATCAACAACAAGAAGAAGAAAAGCTTAACCATTAAAAAGGAGTTATCACCCAATTTAGCACCACAAGCGCGAAATAACGCACACAAAGACATGCACACGAGCATATGTATACAGAAGGCACGGGTAAATGTTGTTCTGCTGTGGCAAGTGGGCTGCGTGGGGGCGGGTGTAGGTGGCATCTAACTCGACATGTTTGTGCAACCCATCGGCGTCAGTTGAACACCAAATAGACATACTGTACAACATGGCATTTATGTCAAACCCAAACGGTCCCCTATATAAATGGGCTTGTGGGCGGCGAGTCTGCTGCAGGGTTGGGTGGCAAATCCAGGAACAGCATGCACAGATATGTACATAAAAAAAATATTGCAAAGATATTGATAATGATAGATGGGCGTTATAAAATTCCAACGGTTTGCTAGGTAGCTTCATTAACAGAATATCTAAATCTGAGCTCATAAGTTGTTTTAAAATCGAAAGGAAAAAAAAAGAGGTATTTCAAACTATTTTGGGAAATACGAAATTTGTTTATGAAAGGTAGCTGCAAAAATGAATTCTTAAAAGTAACTAATTAATTTTCGCTCAATTGATTTGTTTTATGTTACGTGATGCGGGAATTATATCTTCTATACACCATACACAACCTACATCTTATAATAATGGCTGTTTAAGGTTTGATTTATTAATTGAACTTAAAATGATCTCATTTAAATGAAAATACAAATTGTAGAGCACATTTTAATTGTCATTTATCGGAAAACCTTGTTTTCTCAAGATATGATCAAAATTTGTATTTAGTCATTTCAACATCCTCTCCACATATGAGATAAATCATCAACATCGGATTATTATATCATATAGGTGCCAAGGACTGCAGTTAGAAAGTTTAATAACGGAGAATAATCTTTTTGTAAAAAAGAACATACTATTTATCACATTACTTATGCCTATTGTATATAGTCCAAGTAGTCATTGATCATGTTGGCCAAGCGCTTGCACTCCTCCAGCTCGGATGCAATTTGTCGCAGTTTACTGCTGATATTGCGCACATCATCCATGTAGTTGAACAGCAATTGCTGCAGGCGACCCTGGACCCAGTCGAACCAGTAATCGATCTCCAGTGCCTGGCTCGCTGGCTGATGCTTGGTAAGAACTTGAACGCAGCTTTGGACTATATTTAGGAGCAGGGCCTCCAGGCGTGAATCCTGATCCTGTTCGCTGTCACGTCGATGGAACTTGGTGTACTTTACGGTCAGGTTGAGCAGTTCCCACATGTACATTTTGACCAGCTCCTGCTTTAGTGTGGGATCAAAGACCCAGGCCACAATTACGTGAGCGCCCACAATTTGCATTTTCATCAATTTGTCAGCCACCACCAACTTGACCTGCTCGTTGCTGGCCCACAGCTCGAAGAGGGCGCTCAGCATGGACATTTGGTTAGCATCATTGCAGGCCAACATCTGTTGGATGACGGATGAGTTGGCAACCCACTACCAGAAGAAAACTCACCTTCAACACGGCCTGAAACTTACTAAAGATGGAAAATATGTGTGTAAACGACTTGCAGCCCAAATGAAGAAACGTCTGCATCAGCACATTGATCTTGAGTGCGTCCTCAAGCTCTGTGGTCGACTCCACCAGACCGCCAAGCAGCTCTGGCGCGCACTTGCTGCGTATAGCCTCCAGCAGGTGCTTGGCCAACTTCGCACCCGGCAGCAGCTCATTAATGTACTTAAAATTCGGATCCGGCGAAACGGGTAGCAGCGCCGCAAAGGAGATCGGCATCATCTGGACAACGTGCTGATAGTAGCTGAGGCTGTGGGAAAGTTACGGCAGGAATGAATCCCTGCAGGACTAAATGCTGATAGGCTGTTTTTTTTTCTAATGCAAATGTGGTAGATACATTTATTTCCCCGCTCTTAAACAAGTGTCATGAAGATTTCTGGTAGTGGAAACGTAAAACTCTTTGTCCTAACTAAAATGTTGCG